CAGATTTTTCCATTATTATTATAATTGATGATTTCATATTTTCATATAATTTATTGTTTATTTATATGAAAATCATATACACCAATAATATTGAATGAGAATATTGCTTATAAGTTATAACGTAGTTATTATAAGTATAGTAATTGTTTAAGTTAAATTTTTAAAGTTCCTAATTTCTATACACAGTACATATATTATATTATTCATATACCCACCTAACGGATAACGGCTAACTGTATTTAATATGAATCCATTAATGTGTATATGCGTTGGAACAAACTGTGATATTGTATAAGATTTTTCGGGGTCTTTAAATATTTAATGATAAATTAATAGTGGGCCGTTCTATAAAAGTGTATAAAATTTGCATATCTTAGAAAAATTAAATCTAATAAATAAAAATATGAACTATCCGGTTTATGATTACAAAAATTGTAATTTAAAAGAAATAACAAAAATCGCAAATGTAATTATTTTGGTATCTAATGGCTAGTTAATAAAATGTTGGTTTAAGTATAACCAAATAACTAATTTAAAAACAACTGTACAGTACTTAATTAAAACATCAGAACTTGATGCATGTTTTAATTTTAAAATAATAATTACTTTTTCATTTTATTTGCCAAACGTCATACATGTGCATTACGATATTGGTACAGGGTACACATTAGTAAAATACTCAAATGTAATAAATAATGACCAAAACAAAATAATATTGCACAATACCTAACATGCATGTTTATTTTGCTTTTATGAAACAAAAATATAAAAATAGGTATTTAATTACATTATTAAGTACAATGGCATACTTATTATACTTAGACAAAGAAATAATTTTTAAAAATTGGATGCATAATAAACTAACAAACACTAACGAAAATAGTAGCCTAAAAATTTTAGGAAATACCGATAAGTTTGTTTTTATTATTATGAAAAGTATAAACCCATTTCAAAATTAAAGGTTTATAAGTACTCGAAGTTTTTATTAGTTCTTGAAGTATATTTGTTTTTCCTTAAATTTATGGTGACTACTATGCCTACTTTAGTCAATAATGCATATTATGTATAAATATTTTGTTGACAATAGTAGTCAACAACAACATTTTGCCTGTGGCATCATCAAAACCCAATAAGATTGAGTCGATTGAGATAGCAGTTAAATTATTATTTTACAACATGCAGTAAGAATGTTTAAATTTTAGAATTAAGTATTATTAAATTAAAATTTAGTTTACACTTAAAAAACATTATCAAGTTCTAAGTCAGATTTTTTTTTAAAATGTATACTATTTTGTATTCATTGGATTAAAAAATTAGGTGTATCACATTCCCGATAGGAAACCAATTTGAGTAAATTATTCGTAGATATGTTAGATTTAAAAAATACCGGTTTATTTATTTAAAAAGACAGTATTTGTATATTATTATTTTAATATGGTTTTAAATTTAAATGACTAAATATCTAAAATGTATATGCGACATTATTTATATACTCTAATACTTACATTATGCAAATTATGTATGTTATTAGTAGATAGGTTAAAAACTTTGCATTTTTTTTAAATTCTTTGAGAATTTAAAGCCTTAGAATTTAAAATGTGTAAATAATATTATTTTAAAATTATATGTAATAATCTTGCAATAACTAATTGAATTTTACGATCAAAAATTAGTTTATTTTTAAAATTGAAATGATTAATATTATGTTATTATATTATTGATTCAAACATTATAGAAACATTCAAACATGTAGGTAATTTGTGTGTTTCAATTTGAATTTTCAAGAGTAATATTGCATTAACTATATTATATACAAGTACCTAATATAACTTTTAAATTGTCATTAAGTGTATGTATAAGCATTATATTTTAATTATTTTCTTACTAATGACTTTTTAAATAATTAAAAACACGTATAAAAGAACTAATGGTAAATGTTCTAGTATTACAAACAATTGGAAATTAATATTTAAACACCATATGTATAATGTATATTATATAACATTATTAAGTGTTAAATATCAATAATTTAATATAAAAAAACTAGTTATTAGTTACCTACAATCTACTACCTATCTACTAACCCATGATACAATAGTTATACGTACATTTGTCTGTGATATGAGATATCAATTATAAAATAAAATAAATACTATAATAACTTGTTGTTTGTGTTTATAAATACGATTGTTATGTGATCTATCTCTATCTTAATATCTTTTAAATTCATTACCAAAATTAGGAGAGGGGATAGCGGAGCTTAGTTCCTTCCCAGTTTATTAAACGTATTTTAACATATTAAAATTAATATAAAGACCGTTTATTTAATATTATTATTGTAATAAATTATAACCAGTTATAATAGAATAGAAATCATTTTATTACATTATCAATGCATTTTAAAAGAGCAGTATATTTTCGTATCATGGACATTGTAATTAGTAATTACTAATTTGAAATATAGATTTTCAGATGAAAGTTTAACTATGGCAAATTCAGTCGACTCATTTTGTAAATTGGACTACACAAATACATTTCATTTCATTAATCATATTATAAGGTACTTAATATTTTTTGTAGCATATAAATTAAATAAATTATCATTTAAAAATAAAATAACATAATTGTATTTGAACTATGTGATATTAAATTAGTTTATTTTCTTTTCAGATTGTTGTGAATATTTAAATCAAAAGTTTAAAATCTTAAATTACAGTTGCATATAACTATTTAATATAAACAAAAACTGATTATAATATAAATAATCTTATCAACATTGTCGAAAAACGTTTTTATTCCAATTTATACAATTTATTACAAATTTATCTTACAGTACCATTAAGTTCAGCCACATCTGAATACTCAATTTCGTCGATGAGATGTATCAAAATTTGATTGAGAAGTAGTATGGTGCAAGGCGGATTTGGTTATTTATCCAGAGAAAGATATTACCGATTCAATAGATATTGAAATGGTTGTTAATAATTTTTCTCAAAAAGGTAGACGTATAGTTTTATATTAAAACAAATTAACAATAGTGTTGTATTATTTTGAAAAAATAAATAATTTGCTGATACAGAATAATTTTTTTTCAGAAGTATTTATATAATATAAAAATAGGTACTGACGATGTTTTGGTAAATTTATAGTTCCGAAAATAGAGAATTAGCATAAAATACAAATTAGATGGGTACATATTTTTTAGTGTTTTAACTTTTAAGCTTTTATATTATAAATTTATTTTAATTAGTATCTTTTTTTACATTATCTGTATAATTCTATGATAGGATGACAGAAGTCAATATGTTATTTTTTTTAGCATTTGGTAGAATAAAATTTAATTTCTCAATACTGATATTATAATTCTTATATTTGCTTGTTATTTTTTATAATTATACTAAATATGTTATTTTCTTTATTAGATTTTGGTTAATATACATCTAGTTAGTAGGAAGGAATACAATTTATTATTTGTAAATTGTATTTTACCAATAGTTATAAATAATTTCATATTAACTTCTGTCATATTCCCACAGATTTAGTATGTTGGGGGGGGGGGGGGGGGGGGGGGGGGGGGGGGGGGGGGGACAAAGGCCTTGCGGGCTTCTATCTCATTTGTAAAATTAGTCCCTCCAAAATTACAACTCTAATTGCATCTATGTTTTTAATAGTTAAAAATAAAAAAATCTAACTATAAAAAATATAAAAACGTTGGGTTAATATTAAATAGGCTGTTATACATTATGAAAGTAATAAATATTTTAACATTATTGTTTATTTTTAATATTTAAAACGAAAAGTTTTCAGATATATTTTTTTAATTTTGAAATACATTGAGGTAATCAGGTTTAAATTAAATCGTTTAATTCACACTATAATTTATGATGTCCATTGAACAATTTGTTATTTTACTGTCTTAGTTATAAGTTTGAAAAACTATAAACATAAAGACTAACTAGTGTAATAAATGTTATAATATACGCGTCTACGCTTGAATTTGTCCCCCGTTGTTATCGTAAAAAAATTTCATTGGGTATTTTTTGAACAAGTGTGTGTTATGTTTTCACTGAAGACTTTCATTTTTCTCCCAGGCGCCAATTCTCACCCAGAACGTCACGGTCCGAGTTAAATTAATTCGCAATTCAGCGCGGCTTATCGGATCGCGCTGGCGGTAACCGTACACTATCCTACTCCGTATAGTTATGATTAGACACTGAAAACTAATATTTGTTTATACGTGTTGTGATCTGAACGGACGTCCGGGGGAGAAAAAAAAACAAAACGTTTTTCCGTTCTTCCCGCGAGGTTTGACCAACGGGCCGAACGTCGTCCGGAACACGAGCCGCGGACGGCAAAAGGAGATGCAACGCGTACAATATATAGAAGCGCAGCAACGCAACAGTAGAGCGTAAGCGCACAAGTTGAAGGACAATAATTTCGGGAGGAGAACGACCCGCGTCGCCATACCTAGGTAGGTACATATTATACATTATAGCAGAGGTATACGTATTATTGAACACGCACACACACGGCTATACGCTAACCACCAGTCGCCGCCGCCTCAGCCACCAACGTCTTCGTCAGGTGTACACCGTGGACGGTGCGGGGTGACGGTGCGACGGCGGCGGCGTGGCGTCATTGCCCGCGTGTAGTATTTTTTTAACTAGGTTAGTGTAACGCCGCCGCCGCCGCCGCGTGCGCGACTCCTACCAAAAAGGGGGACCGGTTCCGCCGCGGAGCAGGTAGAACGCCGTCGTGCCTATATTATAATAATATAAACGTACACGCCGTGCCCGTGTTTATGGCGTGAACCCGTAAGTGGAAGAGAGAAGGGAAAAAAAAAACGCAAGGCCGCCGCGTTACCCTCCTTTCCGCCCCACCAAGGTGGTGGCGGCGGCGGCGATGTACGTTGGTCGTCCGTCGGCGGCGGTGCCCCACCCCGCGGTCTCCCCGCCGTGGACCCCCTGGCTGAGGCCCCGCTCGGTTGGACCGCCGGTGCACGCGCATACGCGTCAATACACTCGGTGCGCATAGTATCTCGCGGACGCGCCGGACGTGGATTTATGCCGACGAGCGGTCGAAGACGATAATTTTTTCGACAGTTTACTTACCTTTACACATGTACATTGACTACCGAACGCCGCCTCCGTCGAGTTCATATAAGTTTTTGGCATTTTTAATTTCCGTTTTCGGTGCGATTGCAATAACCGTCGAAGTCGATCTTGTTTCGCGATAATATTTCATATTTGTTTACCATTCGTTATAATATCATTCAAGTGCGGTGGTGAAGTGCGACATATACATAGGTACGAGTGTGTCTTAACCCAGCAGTGCGACCGTCTTCGGCAGACTTGTATACTTGGCGAATATATTATAAATACCTACCGCGATTGTTTACGAAAAGCCTGTGCGATTACTTTTGATTGCTGTAACAGTAAGCTCGATTATTTTAGACTTAAAACATACATACGCTGTAGTGTCATAAGATACATGGTGTTCCAAACGTCTGTGAGCTTATAAAAAGTATAACTTTTTATTCCGCACTATTCCTTACTCGATAATGATTTTTATTTTTCTTTGTTCGGAATTTCCGGCTCCAGAAGTTTGGAACACGTTGTATGTTTATTTTTAATTAACAAAATGTCCCTCGGGAATTATCACTTCCCTGTATGCTTTCAACTTCCTTGCAATAGTTCTCTTTTTATATCCTTATTTTATGGTCAATACTCACACGTAGGTTCCACAAAAAATCCGAGGCCGAATTTTTCTGTCTTTACAGGTGAACAAATTCGAACATTTTTTTTTAAAATTATAATCTGTAAACAAATATGACCTTGTGAAAAATAGCTATTGTTTTTATAATTTTTCTCGGGGTGAATGACCGTCGACGAGGACTCGCCCTTTAATGATCAACAGGTAAATTCATCAAAAAATTTTGGATTACAATTTTTACCGTCGGTGATTTAAAACACATTCTTCCGGATCTTTACTCGTGACCTTACAAACCAAATATTGAACTTATACATAAAAAACAAATTCTTTCGTCCAATTGAATTCCCTGTATTAGTGCGTCAAACAACCCTGTTGCATGAATATACCTATTTTTTTTTATACATATCATATATATAATGGCTGATACCTGTAACATTTACCAGTTACCAATATTAATATAAATATGTTAAGCACGATTGTACATATATATAAATATATATACGTAAAAAAGTTTCTATTTATATAATAAATATTTTATTATTATTATTTTTATTTTCATTTAATAAAAACCCAATATGCTTACTATATTTTGAAACAAAATAATAACAGCATTAATCAGTAATATTATGCGATTACTAATATTTTGCTTTTACATGGAGACTTTAACGACTGAATTCATTCAATTTTAAATCGTGTTATAAAATATTTGTGACTTATATATAAACGCCTCAAATTGATCACATGCTGTTAAACTGTTTACCATATCCATAAATTTTAATAAAACAAAAGATGCAAATTTCGTCTGTCAATTATTCATGTGTCCCGCAGTGTTACATAGCTATAGTATATCATTTTATGTGTATAATATATCCGTGAACGAACGAACAGAATACTCTTCAAAAAAAATTTAATTCGGATCTAGGAATACGTAACATAAATTAAGCACTCAAACAGCCAACATATTTGACTTCGGGGAAATTCCGTCAACAAAATGCATATTATATTATAATAGTCTACTATAATTGACGCGATTTTAGTCGTGTTTGTATAATATAGTTGTTGTGTTCGGCTTCCCGGACCTAGGTTCCCGTATCAGCAGGTGACATTAATATAATTATCAGCGCTCATATAAGGTAATGTAGATAAAAATCTCCATGAAGACTCTTTCATCCGGTTTAGATTTTGGTTCCGGGAAAAATCGGTTATCTTCATATTAATTTTGTTTCAATTGTCCATAGTACCTACCTTTATATTTGTCAATTTTTTATTTCAAACTTGGTTATAAAAGAGTTTCAAAAATAAAAATAGGTATAAATATATAAAATACCGAATTATTTATGTATCTGTATGTTTATTCAGTTAAAAAATTGTATTTTTACAAAGTTGATATTATTGAATAATATTACAACTCAGACATTTAAAGCAAAATATTTTGAATATTATTGTCTATTAATTGGTTTAATATTTGGATAATTATATATTAAGTGTACAAACAATTAAAATCACATTAACTTTGTATTGTTATTAATATAATTTTATCGAATGGTTGAGTTCTAGAATTATAAGAAGAATACAAATCATATTATTCGTACTCATGCGTCTCGAAGTTATGGGCCAGTGGGTCGAACGGCTGACCACTGTCGGCCAGTGGTTTCTATTATGTGCACTCCTTTCAATTATAATTTTTTAATTCCGTAACATATCTTAGAACAATTCATAATGTTATTGATTTATTTAGTATATACTAATACAATATGTTTAATATTTATGCTTGTTAAAAATAAGTTAAGATTTTTTTGTAAACACAATTTCGTACTTGTGATCTATTATAAGAATCATCCAATTTGGTCATTTAAATTAATTATATAAATATGTATAACATCGCTTTAAACAATATAATCTATGAATTTTATAATTATTACATCAATTATTGAACCATTTAAAAAAAAATTATTTTATTTTAATTAGTTTGAGAACCAATTGAAGAGTAGGTGTGTATACCGTTATGTTTGTTGAGAATGTGGCACGTTATATTGTATATATGTATATGCCGCGTTGAGGTACTCGCCTCGCACATATATACACACACACACTATACCTGTAAACCAAGTATTATCAATTTATAATATACTTCATTCATCAATATTATAACGAAAAAATGAAGTATACTGTTGTGATAAGTATCAAAATTAAATTTATTAATTATTTTTCTACAATTCCATATTGATATACCAAAAATATTTTTAATTTTGGATTTTGTAGCGACATTCGTGAAACTCGTTAAAAACATATTTGCTTTAATTTGATTAAGTTATAAATATATAAGGACAATTCTGTAAAATGTGTTACAATATAATATTATCTATATTATAATTATTACACTAATAAAATTAAATATTATTCAACATTCCTACCTATTAAACATTAAATTTATGCCTTAATATGTTTTCCCAATAATTTACTACAGTAAATTTTATACGGCTCACGGGTTTTTCTACAATAGACGATTTAATCACTTTTTTAATTAATGAAAAAATATCTTATTATAACGGAAATATTTTCATTAACTAGATCTAAAATTAATTAAACTAAATCATAAGTTACTGTAGTTTAATATCCTTTTTCTAGAAAAATAAAAAATAATATATTATATTTAGGTAACTAACCAATTAATACAATGTAATACGTCATAGACAATTATAATACCCATTGGATTAATATTATGGTCTGATTAAGAATTGTAAATTTGTTAAAAAATTAACAAATGATAACTGAATAGATGAATTTCTGTTCCTATAATGATATGAAATACTTAATTATTTCAAAACTATATACGGTATGTTCTAAAAGTACCGTTCGCTCGCCAGGAGGTCACTCGAAGTGGTAAAACTTCTTTAAACAAAATACGTTGTTTAACAAAAATCGGGTTTTCGTGTATAGAAAATCTTAAAAAAATATTGGTGATTTTTGAATTCTATATATGTATAATATGTATATATAATATATGTTACCCAAACACGACTTCATTGAAATTTTTAAATATTAAATTCTGTATAGCTCTACGTAAACTAAACTCCTTATTTACAAACCTTAAACACTACTTTAACTGTTACTTTACAATCAGTTTAGTATTTTTCAAATCATTAAGAATATCATATATCTTGTTTTTGCGCTGACATGTGTACAAACCAATAGATTTAGTGTATTCTAAAATACGTAATATGTACATTGTACACATACAATTTAGTATAGTAATAGTTAGTATTTCATACGTATGTCCTATATATTTATACCCAATTCATTTTTTGATTTTAGTCTGTATCCTTCATATAACAAAAAAAAAAAAAAAAAAACAAAAATTAAATCTGTGCTTTTTAGGAACATATTTTGTTTAAAATAAATTTATTATATTTCATAATTACAATTCGTGTCATGTTAATAACTTAGAAATATAATAAAGAACACCTTACGTATTATTTAGAACTAAATAATTTAGTTATATTTTTAAGTCCATGGAAAATTATATAATCTCCAGTTTTAAGTGATATAATTGAATATTAGTCGAAAAGATTATCAAAATATTTTCTTGTTGAATTTATCTTACACTACACGACCTACGACATAATGTATATCGTATATGAGTATACCTTTTACCTGTAATATAAATAATATGTAGGTATTGTGTTCAATCAATTATACTCTTGTGGTTTTTAATAAATATGCAATTATTATAAGTCGTAAGTCATAATGTATTTTCAAAGCAAATCAATTGTTTGCGATTAATAAAGTATAGTAATATTATGGGACAATAATACTACATAATATAGCGTTTATCGTAACCGCGCCTTCATACAATTTTATACAAAATGGATCGTAGACGGATACCTAATATCATAATAATAATTATAATAGATATTAGATACCTACGTGCGGCACATTTGTGACGAAAAAAATGGTCTTTCTATTATGCGTCAAAAACTCGTATGTGTCTAGAACGAATCGTAAGTGATTATAGTGTTTTTGTTTTAGAACGCGGAACGTGAGGAGGGAGTTGGTGGGAAAGCCTCGACGTGTAAGTCGGGAGAAATGTATGAATGTGTGTGTGTTTCGTGAGTGAACGAGCGTATGGTAGAAGGAGAGGAGGAAGTACATGCGGACGATAAAAAGTGACAGTCCGGATCGTCGGCCAAGCTGCACGCGAATCGGGTTACCGTGTCATAAGTCTAGCCGGATGTTGTGCGAGTGTGCATATACACGTTTTCATGTATATACTTATTATTTACACATATAATATATATATATATATATATACTGCAGTATATGTAAGTACATATACCTCGTTCTATCCTGACCGTATGTCGCGTATAAGTACGTATATAATGAATAGATTCAGTAAAAGTATTCTTTCCCTTCCTCTCCCCCCCCACTCACTTATTCACTAGTTCCACTACTACACTTCCTATATGTCCATCTATACACACACACACAAACACACAAAAACATAAATATATATATATATATATATATACTATACGCGGTCGTGTAGTTAGATATACAAAATGAATTTATCTGTATAATTGAGGTATTATACGTGTTGTATAGTAAATGCTGCAGTATATTATTCGTTCGACGATACCGCGATGTCGAACGCCTGGTACCGCGAACAACGGTCACAAGCGGCTCATCCGGACTGGTTGCCATTTTATACATTGTCTCGAGTACAGATATATTGTTATTTTTTCTCTCTTCTTCTCAATGACGTCATTATATCCGCGTATGTGTGCTGCGGCTGTACCTTCTTTATGGGTTGTATGCGGCCGTGGTTGTCATATTACCATACATCCAAACGTGCGGGGGGCCATCGACCGGCATTGTGCATAAATCTATTTGCGGAGATCGCTACTTTTTTACAAATTCTTTACAGATATTTTCAACGTTTTCAATATATACGCTCGCGCCACACAATATAAACCTATTATTCAGATAAATTTTTACCTGTTCCGCCGAACACGCTGTACACGAGCTGTAGCCTGTAGGCAATCGTGCGCATATTACTTTTTCGTCTACAACACACATCACCCTCGTTTCAAAACCATCACTCGTTGCCGAGTCATCACGAAAATTTTGAGCACAAATACGTATCATATAATTTCAAGCCTCAAAATATAAATAGATACACACGTAATCAATTGAAAAACTGTATA